TTTGTTCTGTCCTTTAAGTAGGAACTAAACCAATTTAGAGCTGTTGCTGAAACTCCCACCCAGTTTTCTAGACGGTCTAGCAATATGTTGTGGTCAACAGTATCAAAGGCAGCGCTGAGATCTAATAATGCTAACACTGATATTCTGCCACTGTCTGTGTTTAAATGGATGTAATTTAAGACCTTAACAAGAGAAGTCTCAGTGCTGTGGTTTGGTCGAAAGCCCGACTGAAACACATCAAAACCGTCAGTTAAAAACATGAAATTACTCAACTGTTGAAAAACAACTTTTTCAATCAATTTGCTTAAAAAAGGAAGGTTTGATATTGGCCTGTATTTATTCATTACGGTTGCGTCTAGGTTATGCTTTTTTAGGAGCGGTTTAATTACTGCAGTTTTCAGGGCCTATGGAAATACACCCGATTGGAGAGACTTGTTTACTATGTGTAGTATATCTGAGGCCAAGCACTGAAAAACAGTTTTGAAAAATCCTGTCGGGATAATATCGAGGCTACAGGAGGAGGATTTCAGATGTTGAATAATATGAAGGTAGGTAGTAGAAAAAAAATCTGAGCTTGTGTGCATACATTTACACTTGTATAAAATATCCACGCATCTGTGAACCAAATTTGAAGTCACAGAAGAAAAAAAAACTTTTGTAGCTTGTAGAAAAAAAATGAACTTAGTGATGAAATATTCACTATATTTTTTAAATATATTTTCCATTACAACTGCAACTTGGTTATTACAACCTCTCAAATCAGTCATTACAACGTCACAAATCTGCTCTGTGACAGTATAAATCGACGAATCTGCGGCATTGACTTTTGCTACACTTCTTGCGATGAATGTGTCGCTAAAGTAATCTGCTCTGTTATCTGCTGTCCGCTCTGTGCTCCGTGCGCTCTGGGTCCTGCAATAACGGCTTCCTTACGTTGTAAACACTGCGTAGAGTCTACTGTGTAATGTGCTGACGCTGGCTGGCATTCTTTATACTTTACGCAGGACCATATCTCTGGAACCCATTGGTCGATTTGGGTGATTTACACCTTTTTCTTAACCATTAGATCCAATAGAATCGATGGGCAGTTCCCAAATCCACGTAAACATTTCCATTGCGGACGTAATAGAGAAGCAAACGAAGCATATCTGAAAGTACAAGCCTGGACTGCAAAACTTTATACCCAGTATATTGCCATAAATATGATGATGGATTATCAGTAAAAATGTCTACGTGACACAGAGACATTGGATTAACCTTGAGCGGCGTTTTTATTCCGTTGAACACAACTTTTAATCATAAATCAAAAAAGGTAAGACGTAATTATTGTAATATTTTTGAAACCGGATGTTTTCTGGCTGATAGCTCCGAGAATTCTGGGTCGTACAGTTATGACATAACATGTATGGAATCTGTGAAATCTCAGCTTGCTAGTCGATATTTTGTTTGTGCAGTTACGATAAGTAATAAGGGCATTTCTACCGTGAGTTCTGTGAAAAGTCCGTTAGCATTAGTTAGCATTTTTTCGCTCAATGCTAATTCAAAGGCTTGGTATTACTCTTGTGTTTCTTTTAGCTAAGAATTGTTCATATTGTCAGTTAGCGGAGTTTCTTCACGTTAAAAGGGTATGGAACATTAATAGTTTCATAAATGTTAAGAAGCCCTGAGACATAGTCTCGAAAAAAAACCTTGGGGGGGGTCCACTGGGGGAACCGTCGTCCTTAAGAGGTTAATCTGTCGACGGTAGCAAACAAGGCACATGTGTTTCTATTTTTGGTAATGATGTCAGAGAAGAACGATTGTCATGCCTTTCTTATTTCCTGATTATAGACGCAGAGTCTCTCTTTATATATTTCCAAGTGAACCTGGAGATGTGTTTTTCTCCACCTGCGTTCAGCTTTTCTGCACTCAGTTTTTGCTGTTCTCACAGTCATGGTTTTTCAGCGGTTACCTCTTTCTTAGCAGTTGTTTGGACGGAAATAGAGCTCTCAAAGAAAACACAGGAATGATCGGAGAGTGCTACATCAGTCACCACAAGCTTAGAGATGTTCAGACCCTTTGATACAATTAAGTCCAGGGTGTGCCCCTTATTGTGTGTCGGACCCTTCACATGCTGAGTCAGTCCATAATTATCGATAACACAAAACAGTTATTTAGCCCCTCTGTCCTGAGGGTTGTCAACATGGATATTAAAATCGGCAACAATGACTAGACCAGGGGTCGGCAACAGGCGGACCGCGGTCCGGATCCGGACCCAGACGCCGACCTATACGGACCCGGACCTATAATCTACGGTGGCCCGGAAGTGCAAGACACCACAGCATTTCACAAAACACCACAGCATTTCACAAAACACAACAGCATTTCAGAAAACACTACAGCATTTCAGAAAACACCACAGCATTTCAGAAAACGCCGCAGCATTTCACAAAACGCCGCAGCATTTCACAAAACGCCGCAGCATTTCACAAAACGCCACAGCATTTCACAAAACACAACAGCATTTCACAAAACGCCGCAGCATTTCACAAAACGCCACAGCATTTCACAAAACACAACAGCATTTCACAAAACACAACAGCATTTCACAAAACACAACAGCATTTCACAAAACACAACAGCATTTCACAAAACGCTGCAGCATTTCACAAAACGCCGCAGCATTTCACAAAACACAACAGCATTTCAGAAAACACCACAGCATTTCACATTGGACGGAAAGGGTATTCCTTTAGGGAGAACACTTCTTGTTTGTGATTGGACAGAGCCAGCCAGAGAAGCACTGCTGTGATTGGTTGTTTTTGCTGCCAGTCAAGAAATGACGCTTCGTGATCGGTCAGCACCCGACAGCGCAACATGTCCCAAGACATCAACCGTTAGCTGTTAGCACACACTCAGAGCTCACAGCTCCTCATATCTGTTCAGAAACTGGACAAAAGTTAAACAAGTACAAACCACAGACTGTCTATGTCATGGCGAATACAGTCGCTGCTTTATTTATGTCTGTATGACGCTGTTGTGAGTGTGGACGGAGCAGCTACAGGTTAGTTTAGCCTGATCTACCCTGTGGTTTTCCATGGCTCTGCGGGACAATCCGCCCTTGGGGGTGGACGCGTTTGCACACGAGCCATGGCCAAGAAAGCTGATCTACGCCTTTCCACCGGTACGCCTCATTCTCCCTCTCCTGGAGAGGGTGAGACGAGAGCATCTGTCAGTCATCCTAGTGGCCCCAGATCGCCGGTTGGCGCCGTGGTTCGCAGAGGTGACACAGATGATGGTGGGCCAGCCCTGGGCGGTTCCTCAGTTCTGGGGGGCGATGTCTCAGGAGGCAGGTGCAATAGGGGCGTTACCCACTCTGGGCCAACCTCTCCAGGCTTGGCTCCTGAGAGGGACAGGCTGAGACAGGGGGGACTGTCTGACAAGGTTATTCAGACTATCCAGGCAGCAAGAGCAGGATCCACCACAGCCTGTTACAGGCCAAAGTGGTTGGCATTCCAGCGATGGTGTGAAGAGGGGAGTCTAGAGCCCCTGTCGTGTACGGTGGGCTCTATTCTGTCCTACTTGCAGTTACTGGTGGACAGGGGGCTTGCTCATTCCACAATTAAAGTGTATGCAGCAGCCATCTCGTCCTGCCATGAGGGATTTGGCGGCAGGTCAGCCTTCAGTCAGCTGCTTATGTCACGTTTTTACAGGGGGTCAGGAGGCCGCGCCCAGTAGTGCACGCCTCCGCCCCGCAATGGGACCTGCCATTTGTGCTCGAGGCTCTGGTCACAGAACCATTTGAGCCTCTGGAGCTCTCATCCCTGAAAGCATTGTCATGGAAGACAGCGTTGCTACTTGCCTTAACGTCGGCCAAGAGAGTGTCCGAGCTGACCGCTCTGTCGGTGCACCCAATCGGCTGTGGGTCAGCAGGTATCTGACCCCCCCCCCCCCCTGGACATAATGCACTTATGTTTTCCTGTGCTCCTTGGGGACCCGGGAAACGTGGTGCGCAGTAAGCCCCATACAGGGCTGGGGTCAGCAGGTATCTGACCCCCCCTGAGCATAATGCACTTATGTTTTTCGCCGTGCTCCTTGGGGACCCGGGAGGCATGGTGCGCAGTAAGCCCCATACGGGGCCTATGGGCGGGCGGGGAGAGCCCTCCTCACTGTTTTCCAGGCACACTATTCACAAGGTAAGCGTGTCTGAGTGTGCCCTACCAGCCAGGTAAACTGCGGCCCCCACTTCTCCCCGGGCACAACCGGAGGAGAGGAGGTTGCGGTGCAGTGGCTGTTAACCAAAAAAAGCCGCTCAGGGGCAGTGTGATGGGTCGATGTTGTTGGACGATAGGGCGTTTAGGCATCAGGGCTCCACCCACTGTACCCATAGAGTCCAGTAGAGGGCGGAGCCTGTGTGAGTTATAACGGTGGGTTACGTATTGTAACCCTAGTTATATAAGCACAGGCGGAGCCCTCTACTCGGGGCCCTATCTGTCCTATGCTGCTCGCTGAAGAGAAGTGTAGGATGACAGCCAGGAGGCGAGGCCGCCTTATATACGGTGGGCTTGCGCACGCATTCAGGTAGGCCCGCCCCAGGGGGCCGGCTACGGTTATAGATATCTCAGTTGATGAATGCTTGCATAGTATGGTTGAGAAGTAGTACCCATATAGTCCAGTAGAGGGCTCCGCCTGTGCTTATATAACTAGGGTTACAATACGTAACCCACCGTTACATCCACAATGCAACAGTGCCTACCAACCATGACAAAAAAGGTTACGCTACATCGTTAGCCGCACTGTTTAAGTAAATAGGTTGTGATCGCTATCTTGTAAAGATGGCCGACTTGCTGTTGATGACATCACAATCCCATGCCCTGTTGCTCATCTATTGATAATATTGACACATTAGTTTTGTCTTTAAGGTTTTTTCCAAGAAGAAAAGTTCTCAATGGCATTTAACTACAAACCAGGTTGTAGGAGATAGTTTTGGCCCATGAATCCTCACAAAGATATTCACGAACCTTCCCTGTGGAACGGACCCCTTTCCAAACGCAGAAGTAGCAAACGACCCAGACAGCCAGGAGACACAGCAGCACCTCCCACTGCACTCCACCCAACTCCTCTATTCCCCCAGACATAGACAACACGCCTCTCCTGCAAAGGGACACAAGACAGTCAATGATAAGTGCAATAAATCACAATATACTTTAAACATGATCCATTGCTGCTGCTTTACGTAATTTATTATGAGCTTCACAGGACAACATTGACTCACTCCCAGAACTCAGAGACTGAAGACTTGGTGAGATTTCCAGATGTCCAGTTTACTGACTGGTTGCCTCTGTGTGTTTGAGTAGAATTTAAGGAGGTGAGGTCCACACATCTGTCTGTTAGTTGGAAAGCAAATCAAAATGTGGTTAAAGTGAAAATCTTTATATCACAGGTTAGTAAAAATGGTCACTCATTTGGTTATTGTTTTTAGTCATGAAACACAGCAATGTGCCAACAAGGCAAGGTAGAAGGTTGGTACAGCACATTATACAGTATAACAATTTCAAATATTTAAAAAAATATATGCTTTGAAAATCTTGTACAGTATGTGTGAGGAAATGCATTCTACACATCACCCACAGATGACCATGCAGACCCGGTCTTAACTCTGTCACCTTTAAATTACTCAACTATCCCCGCAAATATAAGCTATATATAATAATTAATTCAAATGTTAAACATGTATGCAGTGTTATATCAGAATCATTTGCAGTCTTTGTCTCCAGGACAGTTGATGTGAAGAAGATATCAGTCAGTTAGCAAACAGATCAATACGTTTGCAAACCTTATTCAAAATAATTATTTGCATTTAGTGATTCTATTGTCTAGCTCTCTGCTAACCATGTGTTTCTCTTGGAAGATATTAATATTTTTGACATTCAATTTAATTTCACGGTATAACTTATAAGCTAAATTAGCTTTTGTCTCTCTGTTTCTCAAAGGTTAGCAAATAGGTAGCTCTGGGTGAAAAGTTAAAGTTTTCCAAAGTAGAACACGTTTTGATCAAGTTGCTTTTTCCACATTGTTTCATAGTTTGTTAAATGAATGTAATTACCATAACATTTATGTAAAGGAGACCGTGTCTAAAAAGAGCTCTTGAAGAATAATTTATTTGTCAATAAAGGAAAAGGTAGATGCTTTTGCACCCAGGTGTACATAGTCAACAATGCTATTTGCCCCGTGGCAAACATTAGATTTGGTTTTGAATGCATGTGCAAATGTATAACATTGGTGATGGCACATCTTATATTCAGCACTGTATATGCATCTGTTCTTACATTGTTTGCGATTGCTTGTTTAGGTAATCGGAACATCAGAGATCAGTGCTATATTGGACTTTACAGACCAACCAACCTAACCTAATCTGGGATTGTAGATAGGCACCTATTAGTCAATCATTAATTAGGATGTTTCAGGCATAAAATAAATACAGTTGGTCGGGGTATGGGTGTGAAGATCCGAATAGCTGCTGTGTGACAAATCTTACCTGGGTGCAAATAGACTGTAAAACAACAGCTGACTGGCACTTCTAAAGAAGTAAGTACTTTAGGACCTTTTAACTCGCTGTACGTCCACCCATCCTTCCCCTATACAGACCTGTGTTACAGGGATTGTTGCAGGTGGCCCAGGGCAGAGGGTCTCTGAAGCAATAGATGAGGTAGAGGAGGGCCCAAGCCAGGATAATGGTGTAGACTCGGGAATAAAGTTGGATCACTATATAAGAATAGCCAGTACCTGGAGAGACAGAGAAATCATCCGAAATACCCTCGGTTTAAGCTGTAGAGAATATGTGTAAAGAAGCCAAACTGTGCTGTTGTATTTGCTGTAAAGTGTCCTTACTGCAAGGTAATTATTATATGTACAGCACTTTGGCTCGACCAAAAATCGTTTAAAAATGTGCTATATAAATAAAACTTGATTTGATTTGAAGCCGGATATAAATTAATCACGGCAGCGTTTAGCTGAGTTTCTGCTGGTAGACAGCCTTCTCTTCACATAGCTCACTGCTTGCATGCGGACGCTCCAAAGGGGCGTGGCCAGCAGCAGCTCGGTTACATTTAAAGGGCCAGACCCAGAATCAGCACTTTAGTAACAGGGCTGAAATAGAGTGGTATGAGGCATGCTAGAATGGGTGATCTGTTTCGTGTTTTGATTAAAACACTTCAGAGACATGTTTTGTATAGATATGGCCCTATAATATTGTTCAAATATAGCATAATAGGTGACCTTAAACTCAGAAAACATCAGATTTAAAGGATACAAGCTTGTTGATGTATCTCCCCAAATACAGGCCAGGAAAAATAAACAAGGGTGGATAAACTGCAGCTGCCTTTGATATAATGGGCTTTCATATTAACCGTGATCTACATATCCATCATTTAAATTTGATGAATTGACATTTTCACACGTTTTTCTCATTGATTTCTTGACCAAAGTGTTATTGTTCTAGGTCAGTGACTGTGAGTGTGTATGTAGTATTGGCATCATTCAATCATCAAAGCTGAGGCTTTGTATAAGTGCAACAGGAGTGCAATATTTACATTTTAAGTACTGTACAGGCCTAAATGAGGACCACTATAAAATGGTCACATGTTCCATGAGATTTGTCTTTCCTGAAAAAAATGTCAATGCCAAACAAAACAGAGATTGTACTTCAGAGTTTTTTTGTTTTGTCTCAGAAGTCCACTGTGGCTGAAAACAAGGTTTACAGGAAAAGTCTGTACATTCATTAATATGTATTAATGTGAGTCCATACTGTATGACATACAATATGATATTTGGTTGAATAACAATGCTTTAGGCACATTCTGTATTTTTTGGGCACCATCATATCTGAATCTGTGACAAAGTAAGGGTTTCATGCTTATATGTTCATAGGTTATAAGAGATCAGAATAAAGTAAGACTAAAACAAATGTAGTCTGTATTATATTATTATTCTTAATTCATATACAGCTGTGGAGTCAATGGACCCAAATGAAATGAGAAAGTCAAGGTAATATTAACAAAACACAATGATTATGATTCCTGTTTCATGTATTGGTAGGATGGGGTACGTTCACGAAATATGGCTTCAGGGATTTTCCTTTTAGAAAACTTGGTGTTTCCTGAAATACATTTTCAGTTCTAGCCAGTTTTAAATTACATAATCCCTAATTGTCTAGTTGCCAGCTCATCAGCTGACAATGTCATAAATGGATTCAGTATCGTATTGTCAACATAGGCTATTATGCCATTAAGGCTAATTAACCCATTTTATGCTAATTGTGCAAATTGCCCAACATGTGCAAGTTAGCATCCGGCAGTTTGTGCTGGGGACCAGTACTAAACATTTCTAACATAAAACTTGTGGTTACCCTGTGCCAGGGGGCAGAGCTTGCTCCAGCAGGTCATGGAGCCCTCTTGTGTGTACTGACCAATCGCGGTCTCCATCAGGTAAAGCGGCACGCCACACAGCAGGGCAAAGAAACAATACGGCACCAGAAAGGCACCTGAACACACAGAATATTCACACCTGAGACTATGACATGGATGTTCAGTTTTGATGTTCCCCTACATTTAATAATAACCATGAGAAGGACAGATTCTGCATTAATAAAGTGATAATAAAATGTAGATGTACAACAAATATTACTTTTATGGTGCGTTCACACCGGAAGCGGCTGTCAGCTGTGTTTACTCGCCTCATTCAAACAGGACACGCTGGTGAGGGGGTGGGGCTTATCTCCATGTAAATACTATGGTAGATTAAAGGTGGGGTAGGTAATTTTGGAAAAACCAGCTCGAGTGCGCTAGAATTTGAAAATACACAACCGGAAAAAATCTTCCACTTCCTTACAGAGCCCCTCCTCCAACACACACGAACGCGCACATGACCAATGAGGGCACGAGATAAGTTTGTGCACAGATGGAAGGCTGACAGGCAGGTAGGCCATCCAGTTACTTTAGCCGGGCCGGCTAAAATGATTGGTCGTGCTTTTTACAGTACTACGGCTTCCACAGATGACATTTTTTAATGGATTTTTTGTCAAAGCACTTAAGATATTCATTGCTATCGGGATGTTAAGAGCATTCCATGGAATATAACAAAAAGTGTATCTCGAGCCGGTTTCTCAAACTTACCTACCCCACCTTTAACTAACTACAACAAAATGAACATATTTGACCGTTATTTGATTGTTAATACACGTTTTAAAATGATGCCAAAATAACAACATACTGATACCAGTTTGTAAATACCATGAATGAATGCATGTTTACACAGGCGGCAGGAGAAACCGTTTTATATGTGTGTTTCCTGAATGGAGATCTGTGGCCTGTACTATGAAGCAGGATTTGCGGTTAGCGAGGTAACCGCTGAAAAAGGTTGGGAACCACTGATTTAGAGGAACAAAGAGTTTCACCGGACGAGTAAAACCACACCAGCAGGAGAAAACCCTGCAAAACCACATTCCCTGAAGGCATCCTCGTCAGGTTCCTTGATCACAACTATTCATAGGTAATGTTAAGCAATAATGGAAAGTAACTAAGTACATGAACTAAAGTATTGTACTTGTGTACTTTTTTGACATATTATGTACTTTACTTAAATACGTCCATTTAATGCTACTTTATACCCATACTCCACTACATTTCAGAGGTGAATATCATACTTTTTACTCCACTACATTTATTTGAACACTCACAGTTACTTTGCACATATAATAACACATATATGCCCATATAGTATAATGCAGTACTGCATGCACTACTAAACTACACAGTATCTAAATCTGGTCCAAATTGAACAACGACAACACTGAAATGCTCTTGTGTAAAAACATGATACAATTAAAACCATCATCATATAATACTTTGAAAGATCCATTCTGCATAATGAGTACTTAATTTTTATAAGTAGATATTTTTTAAATCAGGACTTTTACTTCTAGATGAGTATTTTAAGACTATAGTATTTGTACTTTTATTTAAGTAAAGGATCTGAGTACTTCTTCCGGCATTGATGTTAAGTCATGCCAACAGGCTCTACAGTTTCTTGGCTGTTTTACTTAGATAGATAGATAGTCAGGTCTACAAAAAGGACACATACAGAAGCAGATTAATAATAATTGCTACTGAGTGTAATAACTTCCATTATTTTAGCAGCCGTGTATCCATGTGGCTATAAAGTCAATATATATACTTTCAAATGTTATTTTTCATGTAACCTCAAAGTATTTAGATTATTTTCAGTTATTTCTACACACTCCTCATATGCCACATAGATTGAGAGTCCTTCAGCAGCTCTTATGCAGCTTGATGTAACAAGGAAATAATTACTAGAGATTAGGGATTTTCATGAAATCATCTAAAATGTCACAGTTGATTGTATGTACAGCTCACCTCCTCCGTTCTTATAGCATAGGTAGGGGAATCTCCACACATTGCCCAGGCCCACCACATTGCCTGCTGCTGCCAGAATATATTCCCTTTTCCTCGTCCACTGTTCCCTCTTTTCCACTTTGTTCTCCATTTGTGTTCCTCTTTCAGTCCTCTGCTCAGTAGGCTACTGCAGCACACAGCCCTGCACACAGCATACTGATTGTTATCAGGCCTTGGGTGTAGAGCGAGGAGGTGCTTATTATAATAGAAGTATCATGTATTTAGTCTAAAGTTCCCTGAGGTACATTTGTAAACTGTGATATTCTGCCACAAAAATACAATGTGATTAATTGATTAATCAACCTTTCAAAAATGTTGGTGCTGTTTCGAATGTAAAGTGCCATTTCTTTGCGAAATGGTTTAGTTATGAAATCAGAATTACATAATTATAAATAATAAACAAATACAAAAAAATTATATTTATTATTGAAGATAAAAATCTTCTGAGAAAATAACTAAATATATGTTTAGTTTCGATGTGCACTTCAATTCATAATAACGATAGTTTTTATATCGAAAATAAGATTTTAACAAACAAGGTTCAAGGTTCAAGGTTCTTTATTGTCAAACTGACATAGTTACAGAGTAATTATGTTGTTGAAAATCTTATGTCATAGGCTTCTCCAACAATGCAACATAATAACAATACAGATAGCAAGAGCAATACAAAAAGAAAAATAGTTATAAAATAAAGTGAGCATGTGGAATAGTGCAGTACGAGTCTATATACAAGTTATTGGAATGATATATATATATTTTTTTTTTATTCTCTTATTGTCATTTCACAGTACAGGTACCCTGTAACGAAATTGTTCCTCTGCATTTGACCTATCCTAGTGTTAGGAGCAGTGTGCTGCCGTGGACGGCGCCCAGGGAACAGTGTAGGGAACGGTGCCTTGCTCAGGGACACCTCGGTAGTACTTGGTCTTGCCGGGACTCGAACTGGTGACCTTCCAGTTGCCAAGCCAAGTCCCTATCAACTTCGCCACCACCGCCGTCTATATATTAGATATTAGATACATATTACTGAGTAGCAGATGAATGAATGTTTTGAAGTTGTTTCAGCAGTTCAATTGTTTAACAGTCTCACTGCTTCCCGCGGGAAGCAACTGACAGTTACACTTTGAGTTGTCTCTTTTGAGATCCTCAAACAGGGAGTTGTCAAACTTGCTCACTCTTGTTACTCCTTCTCCTGAACCATGACTAACCACACACATTTTGGCACAACTGCTACTTTACACAACTGATATTTAGTGGGAATGCTGATACAGCATTCCAACTATCTGTTCTTCGAATTCTTTATTATTATTCCGCCGGGATTTTGCACCTCTTCTGCTCCCACATTCCACATCGCAGAAACTCCGTTCAAACATCAAAACGTTCAGCTCGGTCGGGAATCAATGGCTATTACTTTTCTCATTCATAACTTTCATAATTCTCGAGATATATCCCATAATTCATCACATTTTTACCATGGAAGTCAATGGAGAAATTCTTCAGACTTCAACAAATCTTCATGCGACTTCAACTGCTAACTGTTCCTTCATACTTTCACTCAGAAACCTCATTCCAACTTTAAAATGTTACACATCTTTCTGACATTATTCGTGTAACACAACTTTTAAATCTGATTCTTTTAGAGATATTAAACATTGTTCAGACCTTGGTAAAGAGGCCTTCTTCAGATTTTAACATTAACTAGAGAATGCAATTCCTGAAGAAATTGCTAGTGGGAATGCTTTATGCTGAAAAGCTGACGCTAAACTGCTATGCTGAAATGTAATGTGTAAGAAGAAAGTGAAGAATTTAGATTGAAATGATACATGAACACTGGGGGCTTGAATGTGTGATGAGTGAAGAAAATAAAGTAAAAAGGCTTGGAAAAGCAGCAGAATATTTGAACTGCAAACTTTTGAACTAACTTGATGGCGAATGATCTGTCGCCATGGCAACGGCATTTGATGACACCCCATAATACGCTTAAATGCGTTGATGGCTGCATCGTTACCAAACCTGTGAAGTTTTGGGCCGTTTGGAAAATGTTCACTGAAGTTATGAGAAAACCGTGTTTCATGGCGAGCATTGTGTTGCCATGGCAACGGCATTTGAAGAAACCCCATAATTGACGTAGAGCTGTTGAGGGCTGGACCGGTGATATACAAGCGAAGTTTGGGGGACGATCGGACCGTTTCCATTGGACTTACATGGCGAGTGGTCTGTCGTCATGGCAACGGCATTTGATGACACCCCCGAGAGAGAGAGAGTGTGAGAGAGAGTGTGAGTATGAAATGAACAGTTAGAACTGACTGCTGTCAGTTGGAGTGATGACATCATCGTGTTCCATTACACAGGTGTTTATAGTTGAGCTAACGAGCTCTGTAGAGATCAAAGGTTTGCATTGTTCTGAATGAGAGATAAACCTCTTACATGTGAACGTTTTGTGGAAGAACCATAACAGATATCTGTGAAATTTCAAAACGTGAAGCATGTCAAGGAAGTTGAGTATCTGAAGTGTAATGTTTGTGTACTTTCGGGTTAATAATGTGGCCTTTTTGGCAGTTTAACTAAAGGTGTGCGGCTGCTGCTGTGAGGAAATATCAGCCTGAAATTACAATGGGTTTTAATGGAGACATGTTGAAAGTTTTTGTCACTTCATGCCCTCAAGAGGCATTTTGTTTAATTATTTTTGCTTAATTATTTGACAGTTTTCAAGCTACGAGATGTTTTCCTACGTTTGTCATGACAAATTATGTCTCAGGAATGTAGGGTTTGGGAATTATGGCAGTTTATAAAAATAATATGAAGGCAAATTTCAAGATTTCCTACCCTCTAGCTGTGACATCACGCACTCTAGTTAAAGGGCCCATGTCATGGCCATTTCCACTGATCATAATTCCATTGTTGAGGTATACTACAATAGATTTATACTGTGCAATTTTCCAAACTCACATTGGTTTCGCATACAGCATCTCTGTAAAGTATGTGTATTCAGCAGTATTCACTCTCTCCACTAAACGGCTCGTGGAGCTCTTGCCCCCCCCTCCCTGTGAGCCTAGTGTGCTCCGATTGGTCAGCTCGGCCACTCTGTTCTGATTAGCCAACCACCAGAGAGGCTCCGCCCATGTCTAACAGTGCTTTTTTCGGCTCGCTCTCAGCGGAACAACAGTCTTATAATGGCCTCGGTACAGCCGTATATTGTATACGCTAACTCAGTGGTTCCCAAACTTTTTGTGCCCAAGGCACACCAAAGGACAAGTAAAAATCTCAAGGAACACCTATTGTGCAAAATAGCCCTTATAACACGTGTTATCACTCATATCATGTAAAATATCTGTAAATGTGCATAATTATTTACTAATGCCAAATAAAATGTGACAAAGACAACTATATTACTCACGAAATATTTCAGAAATTAATTTGAAACTTTATCAAATTAGGCTTCATCAAAGCAGCAACACACTCATTTAAACCAGACAGGTCACAACATTAAAAATTGTGGAGGATCAGGCTTTGGTGGTTGGCTCCCATCACGGCGCACAGCTGGGAGAAGAGGCGAGATTTCAGGGGCCTTGATTTGATGTAATTCACCATCTGCACAGCCTGATTCAGCACCTCAGTCAACTCCGGGGGCATGGTTTTGGCAACTAATGCCTCTCTATGCAAAATGCAGTGGTTTGTCACGATATGTGGGTTTTGTGCTCTCACCTTAGCAATAAATCCTTTCACTCTCCCCGTCATGCTTGCCGCACAATCTGTGCAAAGACTGACGCACATATTCCAGGTCAGACTGTTCTCTTTTAACACTAGAACCGCCAGAGGTCGCTGTATACCTAAAACCGCCAACGGGTAACATTTACCCGCTATTGATTTTCAAGGTACAATGTTCTTTTAATTATCATGCAGAACAGTGAGTTTTGATCGCACAGGGATGAAACTTATACCAATAGAATATGTGGACTCTCAGCTTTTCATATGATATAGTTTGTGCAGATAGGATGAAGTATAAAATATCGCTACCAGTGCTGATTTAAACACTTGGTGTTAGACTTGTGTTTTGTTTAGGTACAAATCTCTCTCTATCTCTCTCTATCTATCTATAACTATCTATCGATCTATCTGTAATGTTCTGTTCTATGGACATATAATTGTCTACATAAACAGACGACGCGGACTACTTCTCTCATTCCAAGTGTCCATCTTTATTAAGCTGGCACGTAACCTGCACACATGCATTACGTCCTCAACGTGAGCTCAGTTATCCAAGATCTTGTATTCGCCAAGATGTTACACTATCTATAACTATATATCTGTCTATCTCTCTCTATCTATCTATCTATCAATATATCTATCTATCTATCTATCTATCTCTCTATCTATAAGGAACCGCAGTAGACAAAAGGCGTTGCTATAGCAACACGTCATGTTTACGCTGCATTTTCTATGAGGTAAATATTACCCGCTGGCGGATATAGGTATAAATGGCAAATTTTTGGGCGATTTTTTCAATCTGACTTCATATTGACAATTTTTAACAACAGAGGGTGCTACATAACACACTTTCAGGAAAAGTCACGGACTGGGAGACTTTAATATTTTATTGAAAAAAAGTTACATACAATCAAAAAACAGCTGCGGGTAAAATTTACCCGTTGGCGGTTCTAGTGTTAAATAGTTATTAGTTACCCTGAATATTTCTTCTCCCGTAGTATGGCTTTCCATTTCTTTGCAAAAGAAAAACGTCTCTTTGATAGAGTCAGCATCAACATATCTAACGTTTGCCAGAAGTTGGGCAGCCCCACTTATGTCAGTAGATTCGTCTATTTGTAGGGAAAATCTGCCGCTCGCCTGCAGTGCCATAAGACAGGTAACTTTCATGATACTGTCTGCTGACAGTTTTTTTCCTCTTTTCTTTCGGTGGTGGGTTGTCGGCAGTCTCTGCACTGGTGGTTGGTGGTTTGCTCCGCACAAGAAATCGCTCCATTTTCCCTCTTGCGTGTTTCTCTGTTTTAATGTTGTCCTTCAGCCTTCGATGTGACACGGTCTTATAATTCCCACCTGCAACTGCGTTAACAGCGAAATATGGGGTTCTGTGAGGATTTTTTTTTAAAGAATTGTTTTTAGGTATAGAGTTTGCCTCTGTA